TACACTTTTTGAAGATGGAACTAGATAGGGCTATAAATTGCCTGTAACATTAACTTCTTGCAAACATTTTCTACTTGATAAGATATAAAAGAAAATTAACATATTTTTCCTCCCCTGAAGTCTAATTCAAATTATTTTAGAACTAGTTTAACTTCTGACAGATGAAATGCATACATTAGCTAGCTAGAGCCATCTGCAAGGCAAACACATTCTTACCTCACATGTTTCTAATTGGAACGTGTTGTCTTTCAGACACCATCAGATGCCATACTATGACTGGTAATGTATTCTGGAATCATGTACATCCCAAAGGATTTATAATCATCAAGGATTAAGGACAGTCTTTTTTGAGTTTATTATTTTCACACTTGGATTGCAAGTCTAAACACTATTTCTTGAGTAGCAACCTAATTATTCAAGGAGTTAGTATCCCCCAAACAGGGGTTATTTTAGGCAGACTAAGATTACACAGGATTCTTTCTTTATTTTTTTTTCCCACTTATTCATTGAGCAGGATCATTAGATAGATTTTTATGTCAATATCTAGTATCCTTTACTTTGTACTAATGTGGTGTGGCTACATGCAAATTTCCCTTCTGCTCAGTTTAAATTCCATTCTCCATCTCAGAAACAGTAGAGTACATTTCACCATTAACATTTTAATATTCATTTTTTTTTATGACAGAGTAAAAAGAATTTTATATAATTAATTTTTAATACTTGTATCAATATCAAATGACTTATGATCTTTTTATTGATGGCATTTGCTCTTTCTGCTTCATCCTCTTGATTGAGGATAAAAGATTGCATGTGCAATATATTTTAAGTGTTTGCCTGATTATATTTTAATGCCTTACCAGAAATGTAGAAAAAATTCATCTGAAGAAAATGTTTGATGGAAAATGAAATATGACCATTCTTAAGTTAAAATGGTATCTAGTAAAGAGTTGTAATATAATTACTTCAGTTTTCTCATCCTTAAACCAAGCTGCAATCTTAAGCCATCACTAATACTGGGTATCACTGGGTAGCAGCCATCACTGCTATACCATTGCATTGCTCCCATTGATTCTGTTGGAATCTATATATATATCGATATTGAAGTTTATGATAAATAGGTGTATTTAAGGTTTATCAGGCTTACAAAGGTGATCTTTAGTTTTTCTGCTTCAGATTTCTTTTAAAAGAAGGCCTTATGTTGAGAATGCCAAATTAAATCACCCAGAACTGGAATTTTTTTACCTGTAAAAAGTCAGATTTTAGACTTTAACAAACAATAACAAAAAAGTCAGTTTAAATGATAAATTCTGAATATCTATTTCCGACAGTAAGATGATACTGGAATAGTATGACTTGATTTCTTTTGATTCTTTCCTTGTTACTTGTCTGAACTTTACCCTTAGAGAACTGCAGCAGCTACAGATTTCAGTAATTATGTGAAGAAAGATGATCCCTGAAAGTTTGAACTGGTACACAAACAGAGATTGATCATATTGACTCAAGATATGAGCAAGAGAAAAAAAAATACCACAAGTTATTACAGCCAGAGAATTAAAGGTACAGAAAACAACAGAAATGGACTTAAATGTGTGCCAAATTCTTCCAGCATCATATGTTCTACCCAGAACTGTTTCATTGATCTGTCCATTTTTTGAAGGACACAGTGCCGGTCCTCAACCTTACGTAATAACTTCACAGAATTATTCATGTATGAGATTCTCCACTATTTTCACCATCTTCATGGCCTGTTTTTGGACTCTCTCCAGTATGTCCCTGCCTCTCTTGCACTGGGAAGTTCAGAACTGGACAGAGTCCTCTAGGTGTGGCCTCACCAGAGCTGAGCTGAGGAGAAGGATCATCTTCCTTGAGTGGCTGGCAGCACTTCTCCTAATGCAGTCCACAAGACCATGAGCCTTCTTGCTGCAAGTGTGCACTGCTGGCGTATGTTCAATGTAGTGTCCACCAGGATGACACCCAGGTCATTTTCTGCAGGGCTGCTTTCCACCTGCTCAGTCCCCAGAATGTATTGGAGCCAGGAGTTGTTTATCACCAGGTGCAGGACTTCCCTTAGGTGAGCTTCATGAGGTTCCTATTGGCCCATTTTTTCTAGTCTGTCCAGGTCCTTCTAGACAGCAGCATGACCCTTTGACATATCAGTCTCCCAGTTTGGTGTCATCAGCAAAATTGCTGAGGACATGTGCTGGCTCATTATCCAGATCATTACTGGAGATGATGAACAGGACAGGATCCAGTATTGACACTTGGGGTTCACTGATAGTTACTCACCTCTAGGTAGACTTTGTTCCACTGACCACAACCTCATGAGCCTGGCTGTTCAGCCAGTTTTCAGTCCACCTCATTGTCTATCAATACTGTCTTTCTTATTACTTTTTGCTAATGGCATGTCCAAGGAGAGCTTGTTATATTGCTCCACATCTAGCCCAGACCAATCCACAGCATGTCTTGCCTCCTTTCTCTCAGCATATGCTGTGCTATGGGGCTGAACACCAGCAGAATACTCTTGCTGTCCTACTTTCATTTTTTCCTGTAGTCTGCTTCTCCCCATGTACAAAGCTGGAATTTCCCAGAAGGACATCTAAAACCTTTGTGGGCAATCTTCTCTTCTTGATCAAAGCCAAACCACAGGATATTTCTATTCAGCCTGCTGTGTCTTCTCTTGAGGATATGAGACATAACCATGTAAGTAGGATCTGTTGTTTAAATCAAGAAATGTCTCCTGCTACATCTGCTACCCCTGCCAGTGCATGGTGATGCTGCTGTCATGAAGGCAGAAGTGAAACAGGAGCATCTCCATGTCGTGGTCATAGAATTTTACTTAGGAAACAGCAGCCTTCTCACTCTGAAGGCAAAGTACTGCATTTAGGCTCTTTCTATCTTACGTTCATCCTACCCACTGTGCATTAGCGAAAGCCATCTGGTCATCTAACATAACTGGTACATCCTTACAGGAATATCTTAGCAATGCTAAGGTGAGTTCTGTTTTTTGCACCCACTGTAGCACCAGGAAAATAGCAAATGTGTAATTTCAGTCTTCTTTCCCTCTCTAACCTTTCCCTCTTACAGGGATTCACGTACTAATTTCACGTACTAATTTCTATATTATAAAGTAGTTGGAGTTGTCAAGGACAAAAGATGTTGAATATAAATTCACAAAAGCAGTGCTATGCAATGAGACCAGTACTTGTCATGATAGCTACAATAGTTACTCTTTCTCCCAGAGACTCATGTTACCAGTGCTACTTTTCTCTAAAAACAACAAAATAAACCTAAACTCTGCTTCTTTGTCATCCTTTTTGATATCAGAATGAATAACTATGGTGTAGTGGGTTTATGTGGCAAGATTTTGGTAGCAGGGATCCATAGGAGTGGCTTCTGTGAGAAGAATCTAGAAGCTGCCCCATGTTAGGTACGGGCCCCACTGCTGACCAGGGCCGAGCCAATAAGCGATGTTGTTTGTGCCTCTGTGAGAGAGTATTTAAGACATGGAAAACAAAACAAAACAAAACAGAACAAACAAACAAACAACAACAACAACAAAAACGCTGCTCCTCACAGCAGCTGGGAGAGTGAAAGGAGTGAGGAACAGCCTTGCAGGCACCAAGATCAGTAAAGAGGGAGGGGGAGAGGTGCTCCAGGTGCTGGAGCAGAAGTCCCCTGCAGCCTGTGGTGAGGACCATGGTGAAGCAGGATGTCCCCCTGCAGCCCATGGAGTACCACAGTGGAGCAGGGTTCCACGCTGCAGCCCGTGGAGGAGACCACGGTGGAGCAGGTGGCCCTGCACCGATGGAGGCTGCAGCCTGTGGAGGACCCCTGCAGGAGCAGGTTCTGGGCCGGACCTGTAGCCCGTGGAGAGAAGCCCTTGCAGGAGCAGGTGACCTGGCAGGAGCTGTTTCCTGTGGGGGACCCAGGTTGGAGCTGTTTCCTCCTGATTGATGGACCCCATGGTACAGAGCCATATCTGGAGCAGTTCTGGAAGAGCTGCTGCCTGTGGGCAGCCCATGTCAGATCAGTTCATCAAGGACTGCATCCCATGGGAGGGACCTCACAGCACAGGGGATGAGAGTGACCGAGAAGGAGCAGCAGAGAGGAAGTACTATAGACTGACCATAACCCCCATTTCCCCATTCCCCTGCGCCGCTTGAGGGGAGGAGGTAGAAGAGGGTGGATGGGGGGAAGGTACTTTTGGTTTCTTTCCTTTGTTTCTCACTTCTCTAGCTTGTTAGTAAACAGGCAATAAATCTTGCTGTCTCCCTATTCTGAGTCTGTTTTGCCCGTCATGATAATTACTGCGTGATTTTCCCATCCTTATCTCAACCCTTGAGCTCTTTGCATCATATTTTTCTCCCCCTTTCCCTTTGAGGAGGGGGAGTGAGAGAGCAGTTGTGGTGGAGCTCAGCTGCCCACCCGAGTAAAACCACCACACTGTGATAATACTGTTACTGACATACATAAATATTGTAGGTGTATATGCAGTGTGCTGGCAAAGGCTTACCTTAGATCTCAGCTTTTGTGGGAAGGTACATGGCTGTGAAAGGATCTGTTGTGCTTCACAGGTACTACTCCCTGTGCAGATACTGTGCAGAAATTTTTCAAAAAAGCTGTGGATGACCGGGCCTCTGGCAGAGCTACAAATATACCCACTGCTAGGCAAGAAACTCACACACTTCTGAGTGCGTACGCAGTGCCTTTGCCAGTCATAGGCAAATTTTTCAGTCTTGTCCTAGATTTATGCTGCCCTCAACAGTTAATCAGTCTGGACTAAGCACCAGCACTGAATCCTCAGCATTACCAGAATGTGTAAAGATCCGCACCTTGCCCCAAGATAATTTCTGACAAAACCTGACCATTCTCTGGAAAGTACTGAAACAAACAAACAAACAAAAAAGGCTGCTAGTATGAAAAGAGGTAATCATCATAAAGAAAGTTCAACAGACCCCAGCTGCACCCCAAATAGAACAGACAGCACAGCAAACCAGACATTCACTGAAAAAAATATTAAAATTTAATTCCACCAAGCAAAAGCTAGTACATGGCTGCAAAATATTACAAACAACACAAATTTTATTGCAAACATTTTAATACCATTGTAGATAAGAAAGACAAGATTGCAGAGCAGGATCTACTTGACCAGAAAATTGCTTACAGAAGACCTGCTCTTGCTCCTACAGATATCAACAACATTTTACAGGCAGACTTCAATGAAAACCAGGTTTGAACTTCTGAATTATTGTTGTCTTTTTACAAAAGGTATGTATCTCAAAAGAGCAGTAATAGACAAAAAATGTACCTTCTTTCTATGCACCTTTTTTTTTTTTTTTTTTTTTTTTTGTCCTATGGAGGATGTCTCAAAGTTGCAACAGTCTTAACTATGAGCATTAACCCTTTAAAAGTAATTATTCCCTGGAATTAATAACAAACAATATGAAGTAAAACAGTATAGGCCAAGAAAGAGTTTGCTGATTAGGTCTTAAAGGTACTGCTACACAGTTAGAAATGTCATACAAAACTGTCACTCTATTAAATTTAGGAAAATGCAGCCACTCTGCAGTCATCAACTCTTGCTCGTACAAAAAAGGGCCAATATTACCTTGGATTTTTGACTCTTCTTGTTGCCTTTTTCAGAATAAATCCACGGTAACATGCTATTAAAAATTATATAAGTAACTCTTTCTTATATTATTAATTAGTATCTATATTATGTTTCTTATGTCTCAATATATTTCAAAATATTTACTTAAGGATATTTCTTTAGGAGATATCCTGGTTAAATTATTTTAATTTAAAATACTGCAATTTCAGACTATGTCAGTTAAGTTAAAGTAATTTTTCATTACATCTCTTTATTCTAGTATATTCTGAGATCAAAAGGTAGAAGTAATTTTGGCTTAGTAGGTAAATCAGTCCCTCTCTTTGCTGAGATAGGCGCATGAAGTTCGTAAGATTAGAGACAAACCAAAAATGTGGGTAGAATCCCTGTCCTGGGATAGATGAGAAAACTTTTGAAAATTACTGATAACATTAAAGCATACAGACCTACACATTTGCATATAGCAAAAGAGGAGCCTATGACCAAGGAAAACCTAGCTTTTTAAAGGCTTGTTTATATCAATACAAAGGGGGAAGTTTACTGAGTGCTTTACTACAACCTTAAAGCATTTAAAATGGTATGCCTAATGCCACCAATAATAAAGCCAATCATTTTTAGGCAGAGATCAAACCTTAGGTTAAGATCAAACTAAGGGTACTGTAATTGTAGAAAATGTATTTCTGTGATGACCTTGTCTGCACGGTGATGTTTAATTTCAACTATTGCATCTTCTTAAGCTTGCATATAGTGCAGTTAGACTTGTAATTTTTAATTCTACACATATATTCTCAAAGATATAAAGAAATTATTTTATGCAGCCTGTAAGAAAACTAACTAAACAGTAGTAGCTGTTAAAGTTTCTGGTCCTGATCACTGTATAAACTATAAGAGACTGAGCATGACGGCCCTGCTCCAGCAAAGATGCATAAGCACTTGCTTAATGTTAAGCACACTGATAAAACCTCTGATTTCATTCCATTCCAACACATTTGGCAGATGGCACCTTCCATAACACATTTTTCCTTGTTCTCTGCTAGAACAGGGGAGTACACCACCTACTGAAAAGAACACAGGTCTCCCACACAACTCCTGATACCAAAGCAACAATATACATGCTTTTTAAGATCAAACTACATACTTTATAGATCATGCCCTCACAAATAAGAACTTTCTTGTACCTTCCTGAAAAGTAAGCCCTTTAACTACCTTGTACCATTCTTGGGCACTTGATTCCCACAATAGTTTATAATATCCTCCCTGTAATTTAATAGATGCTTTTTCACTTCCATTTGAAAATATTGTGTAAAGCAGCAAGTACAGAATGACTGCTGAACTTGATGTAGCTTGTACAGAAAAACAGCAATCTTTACATGGAATAGCTATAAAGTGCTTTATAATTCTTTTACATGAAAGGTGCAAATAAATACTGTGTCCTCTTACATGGTCTCCTTGGAGACACATAGTACTGATGAGCCCACACTTAAAGAGTATCCTGAAATTGTTACAGTCATTTAATAATGATTCAATCACACCTAGATTGAATTACAACTGGAGAATGCTCCATTTCTATTATTTCCCTATTATTTACAGGGCATCACAGTTAGCAGACCTGCTGCTTGCCCTCAGTAACTGTTTTGCTTGAGCCATATGCACTCATCTGAATGGATACAAAAGGTACAGTGCTACTCTGGGAATCTGCGCAAAAAAGGTCCCTTTAATGTTCAGTAGTAGGGTTTGTTAGTCAATTTCTTCCGATTGCCATTTGCTGAAAAGATGAATTGTCAGCATGTGGTGCTATATCATTTCTCTTTTTGGTTAATAGGCTCGAAATTTCAGGCACTGAGTACATCACATCCCCACAGCAGAAAGCTGACAGTTCCATCAATTGTCAAAACTTTCTAGAATTTGGATTATGCCAGTGAAATTGCTCCCGTAAATATCTATATAATATATGGTGCAGCACTGCAGTGCTTATCCCCAACAGATCTGACTATAAAAGGCATTTTTTTTTTAATATATACAATGAATTGAAGCACCAATGAGTGAGAAGACTTATGCTTACAAAGTGTGTCAATATAGAGTCAACCCCAAAAATGACTCTATGGATCATATTCTGTTATAGTACACAGAACTCTTCTAAGAATAAAAAGTACTGAATAATTCTACGGAGTAATTATTTTATACATTAGCAGTAAAATGCTGTTCCCACCAAAATCAAGGCAAAGCTCCCACTGAATGAAGAATGATCTGGATTTCACATTATTTCTGGAACCAAACTTGACTACTTTGTCACACACAGCAGAAGTATCAAATAGCCTCACAGCATGCTTGATGCAGTCTATTACAGTTCTGAATGATAAAAATGCAACATCAAACAAACATTTTGCCTTCTTCATTTTTTTTTTTCTATTCATATTATTGTGTTCACAATTGTTGTTTTCCTTAAATGTGATTTTTACAGACTAGAAAGGGAAAAAGAAATAACAAAGAAAACAGAACACAATAAATCCTATTACCCAATTGACTGAATAAATGTAGATTATCACCATGTCCATATCAAACCGCCATCCACGGCTGTCATCCTCAAAGTCCATGTAGTCCATTCTGTGAGCAGCATGTGGGAAATGCCTCCTTGTTACAGTATCTGAGTGTCTTCGAAAACCTGCTGAAAAATACACCATGAGATAAACATTGTTATAAAAGTAACTAGATTCAGTAAGACAAAAATACTCCTGACTGGGAGTATTTGTGACTCCTTCTCCCAATTATTTACAAATCAAATGGAAGCAGGAAATTTCACACCTCACTGCTAGGTTTTCTCACTTTGTTGGACAAGATGCTCCCCGTGGACTTGATTTTGAAAGATTTAAAAACTAACTCTTGTCTTCCATGTCTGACAAATAATATGCTTGTCTAGATTTGGTGCTCCCTACATTGTAAGGTAGCTCTATAGGCTTATCTCATCCAGATCTATAAACACCTCTCTTTTGGTGCCTTCTTTCACTGGATATGATTCAGTGATCTAGAAGTGAAATGCTTCAAACACTGTAATTCAACTTGAATAATTTTATATCTGGATTCCTTAAGTCTACTTTTGAGAATTCTTCAGGAATCTAGTCACATCCACATATGTACTCACACAGTTCAACAATCCAAATATATTAGAAATCAAAATTCTAGTATTTGAATTAATTTTCACAACACTCTTCAAAGAAATTCTGCTTGCTTTAGTACTAAGTCTCTGCATGATGAATACAAGAAAATGAGTTTTTACATTTCTGTTAGTGCCATAGTAAAAATATAGATGCAGATACAAATGCAACTTTTCAAGTACAATTAAAATCCCAATAAAACTCAATATACTTAATTAATCTAGACACACACACTTATAATTTTAAACTTTTCTGTTGTGAGACCAATCTATGCTAAGGAATCCTCATGAAGATCAACATCCAGCATGCCACTAGGAAACAAAATTCCTAATAATAAAATTTAAAGTAAATGAGTCATTTGATTTCATGTTTTTGAGTTAGATTTTGAGATACATGAGCTAAGTCATGTATAACTTTCTTTGTAACCTATACTATTTTTGTAAGCAATTATGATAACTCTACTGGCAGAACTAAAGCAGAGAGGACATCCACAATGAAAAAATACAGGGACTGATATACCACAGCAGACCAATGGTATACTCCATCCAGCTTCTCTTTGTAACATGTAACAAATGACACAGAAAGGTGTAAAGAAACCTCTGTTCAACAGTTACACAACAATCTGATCTCATCTGCAAAAATCTAATTTGAAGAAAGTTGATTTTTATCCCCAAAATAAAAGGCTTGCTGTGTGCTCAAACAAGATTTCTGCGTAGTCACTCTTGGTTTTTAAAAAGGTTACTTGTGCCACACTTTCAAATATGCAAAGCTGAAATCATAGTTTGAATTCTGTAAAGCTCTTAATGTCAAAACTCTGAAGAATCAAGGGCTGGATGAGCAGAAAATATTAGTTGAACAGAAAATTCATTTCATCATTTAAAGCTTTTTTTCTAATGTCTTTGAACTCTTTTGAACTTTACTAAAAATATGTTAAAAAAAAAAAAAAGGCAAGTCATGGTGGCCCATACATTTTGCAAGTTTCGTTACTTTGTCTACAACGTCAATCACTGCAACTTTACTCGATGAAGGACTTTTCCATGTCTGATCATCTTTGTTGCATGTCTCCGTGAAAACCCTCAATTTCTCTCTGTCATTTTGTATATGTGTAATGAAATCTAAGCAGCTGAGTTAGAGACCTCCCAGTATTACACAGCCTCTGTGATACTCCAAGAACATCTTCATTGCAGGGCCCTGTCAAATGGTCATTTTTTTCCATTCCTCCTAACTTCCCTATGTGGTAAGAGAAATACTATTTAAGTGTATTACATGCATACACCAAGATAAGCTGCTCATGAGGTTAAAGAAGCCTTTAACCATCTGTGTGAGACATCAGTCGGTGGCACAGAAAAGAGTCTGGGATGTGAGTTGTGAAGGCTGAAGAACTGGCCCACCTGTGAAGGACAAGGAGGCAAGGCAGCTCCTGCTTTACTTGTTCTGTTTTCAGGTTGCTCTCAATCATTATGACAGGTCTTTGCTGAGCTGCCCAAACTCTTCTCCTCTAAACAGATGTAATGGCTTTCAAAGTGAGTAGGGAGAGAGAAAATCTGTCTTCCCTTCACTGTGCACCAGTGCCCAAGAGCATGCATCAGAATGTATTCCTGTTTTACCTACTACTGTGCTGCCTTCTAGTCCAGCTTAATCAAGCCTCCTTGAAGTTCCTCCGTCTTCTGTTTTGGCTAATATAAATAATTGTGTCTAATTCATGTTCATATGACAGTAATTCTCATTTCATAACCTCAGACCTTTTTCAAGATAATTGAGAAATCTATTTTAAAAATGTGTTCTAATACAGATCTTTACTGGATTTTCACTATTTTTCTTTTCAGTAGTGGATACTGACTGTGTCTTTGTATTTTTTTTTCTGAATAAATATTTTGTACAGAACTTCAGCACAATTGTTTCCACACCCTTTATACAAGAGTACTTTATCTCCTTCCTATACTTTATAATATGGTTCATGACCGTTTTCAGCTCTGGATCCCCCAGCACAAGAAGAACATGGATATATTTGAACAAGTCCTGAGGGGAGCCATGAGGTTGATCAGGGGCTGGAGTATCTCTCCTACAAAGACAGGCTGAGAGAGATGGGGTTGTTCAACCTGGAGAAGAGAATGCTCTGGGGGGCATAGCAGCCTTCCAGTACCTCAAGGGGGTCTGCAGAAAAGCTGGGGAAGGACTCTGTCAGGGAGTTCAGGGCTTGGACAAGAAGTAATGGTCTTAAACATCAGGATCCCTCTAGTTTCATTATTTTGGAGACTGTACATGAAATATTCATATTAGGGAAGGGAGTGATGATGTTTTATGATGATTTTCAGTGACTGCAGGTAGACTAAGATTTACCTCACACCTAAATATGCTATCCTGATTCTTGAAAAATGGTTAAAAAGTGGGATTTAATTACTAAAAGTACATTTAATTACTAAGAATACAACACCACTGAAACTTATGCATGTGTGAAAGCTAAAGATTTGCTTAAAGAGAAGAATAACTGTGCTAGTTTTGGCTGGGATGGAGTTAATTTTCTTCCTACTATCTGGTGCGGTGGTGTTTTGGATTCAGGATGAGAATAATGCTGAAATCACACCAATGTTCTAGTTGCAGAGCAGTGCTTGCACAAAGCCCAGGACAGTTCAGCTCCTTGTGCTGCCCTGCCAGTGAGGAGGCTGGGGGTGCACAAAGAGATGGGAGGGGACAATGCCAGGACAGCTGGTCCAGGATGGCCAAAGTGATGTCCTATACCATATGATGCAATGATGAAGAATAAAAGGCACTTGGCTGGAGGGGTGCCATTGCTTGGGGACTGCCTGGGCATTGGTTGTCAGCAATTGCTTTTTGTGCATCACTTGCTCTATATATTCTTTTATCCCTATTATTATTTTACCTTCCTTTCTGTCTTATCATTTCTCTTTATAGCAACCCACAAATTTTATCATTTTAGTGATTCTTTCCCCCATCCCACTCTGGGGGAGTGAGTGTATGGCTGTGTGGTGTTTAGATGCCTGCTGGGTTAAACCACAATAGTCCTTTTGGCACCCTATGTGGGACATGAACAATTGAGATAACGACAGATCTGACCGAAGTGTATTAAAACAAAATCGTTATGAACATTTCGTTAGTATAATAATTTCTGGTCACAATGTTGATCTTTTTGCTCTCAGAATTGTGTTTGTTCTCAGAGTTGTTTTGTGTAATACTTTACTTGCTGTACTTGTTCCCTGTTGTGCTGTTTATCATCTCTGGGGCTTAGATTAAGGTTAACATATCTGTGTAATGCTGGCTTATGACATGATAAAAGTACCAGTTGTGAGACTAATCTGGTGTTTGTATTCAGCATTGCTGTCATCTCTGTACTTCAGGAACTATCTCTTGGAAATTATTAATAATTACACTCTTCACCTTTTCTCCTCAGAGAACCAATCTATGGGGGAAGGGAAGGGCGATACTTTCTCCCACTTCTTTCACTTCCCTTTTTCCTTCCCCTTCCCCTTCTTCACCAGGCTAGTTACAGTAGCTCTTCAGAATTTTGAATATAATTGGGATGTTCAAAACAACATGTTCCTATTGCTATGTCTCCTGAATGTGTTTCAGGTTTTGTTTAAGATTAACCAACTATTTAAGAATACTACCCAGAAATCTGCCCTTATTCAGGATAATTATGAGTGGGAGGGAGTGTGGGAGGCTATAGGCAGGCATCTAGAAGAGTGGGTACCTCCAATGCTTTAGAATTTCACCACTGAACAAGTGCAGAACTCTGAAAATCTGGTAAAATGTTTAAGAGGTATGCCGTCACCCTGCAAATTGCACAGGGACATGAATCACTGCAACATGTTGGGGTCTGACCTATGCATACCAAATTACACTCAATATTAAATCAACCCTCCACAACAAGCACTTTGGCTAACCCAACCCCTGTGACAGGCCCTGCAGCTGAACCAGAGAAGCAACCCATGCAGGTATCAGTCACTCCTATACACAAGAAGAAACAATGGATGCAAAATTCATCTTGTTTAGTAAGGAAAGAAATTCCTATTAAGAAGGGAAAGGAAGAAGAAGAGGACATGGGAAGTTACTCTGAAGTAGGTCCATCATGGGAACAGGAGGAGGAACAGGTAGATTTCATAAATGATGCAGTAACTGCCTGAACTCAGGTGAGAGGTGAGATATGTGAAAAGATTTAAGCTGTCATCCAGGATGTATTACAAAGCATGAGACCTGGCCACGTAGATGGTCATACCATCATGTAGATGGTATGGAATAAGGGCTGGATACTGTCCTGGTTTCAGATGGGACTGAGTTAATTTTCCTCCTAGTGGCTGGTATGGTGCTGTTTTGCATTTAGGATGAGAATAATGCTGATAACACACCGATGCTCCAGTGGTTGCGAAGCAGTGCTGAAAAGTCAAGGACTTTTCTGTTTCTTATACTGCCTTGGCAGGGAGGCTACACGGGCTTCACAGGGAGCTGGGAGGGGGCACAGCCAAGACAGCTGGTCAAAAGGATGTACTATACC